TCGGAGCCGACTTACCCCGTTGTGAGGACGGCGGCAAATCGACCTCCGCGGCTCCTCCGTCGACGGCGCTTACTCCTACCTCCGCTGGTGGAGTAGAAGCGTCGATTCAGGGATCGATTGTCGCGTCCCGACGAGACGCGATCATTCGATCCCCGAGAGATCGATTTCTACCCGCCGATTCAGGCGGGTAGTGTAGACTTGCCCTAAGACACGAGAAGTAATTCTTCTGCTCTACTCCGTGCGGATTAGGCCTCAACTGGAGTATTGTGTCCAGTTCTGGGTGCCACATTTCAGGAAAGATGTGGACAAATTGGAGAAAGTCCAGAGAAAAGCAACAAAAATGATTAAAGGTCTGGAAAACATGAGCTATGAGGGAACAATGAAAAAACTGGGTTTGTTTAGTCTGGAGAAGAGAAGACTGAGAGGGAACGTGATAACAGTTTTCAAGTATATAAATGGGTGTTACAAGGAGGAGGAAGAAAAATTGTTCTTCTTAACCTCTGGGGCTGGGACAAGAAGCAATGGGCTTAAATTGCAGCACGGAAGGTTTAGGTTGGACATTAGGAAAAACTTCCTAACTGTCAGGGTGGTTAAGCACCGGAATAAATTGCCTAGGGAGGTTGTGGAATCTCCATCATTGAAGATTTTTAAGAGCAGGTTAGACAAACACCTGTCAGAGATAGTCTAGATAATACTTAGTCCTGCCATGAGTGCAGGGGACAGGACTAGATGACCTCTGGAGGTCCCTGTCAAGGAAGGGGAAGAGTATCTTCGGATACAGACTGGCTAACCTAGTGAGGCCGGCTTTAAACTAGGTTTGATGGGGGCAGGTGACAAAAGCTCACATGTAAGTCCAAAACACGGAAACTTGGGTGAAGGGTCAGAATATGGGGGGAGAGGGGGGGAACACAGGCAATCACAGCAGGGACTATGGAGAGAAGAGGGAATATAGAGGGGAAATCAAATGAACATCTTAGATGTCTGTCTACTAATGCAAGAAGTATGGGGAATAAACAGGAAGAACTAGAAATACTAGTGAATAATCACAATTGCAACATAATTGGCATCACAGAGACTTGGTGGGATAATTCACATGACTGGAACATGGGTATAGAAGAGTACAGCTTGTTCAGCAATGACAGGCAGGGAAAAAAGGGTGGAGGCATTGCCTTGAATATCAAAGATATATACACTCTAACTGACGTAGATGTGATAGATCTTGATTTTAGTAAGTTTTTTGATATTGTCTCACATGGCCTCATCAACAAACGAGAAATATAGGCTAGATGGACATATTATAAGGTGGGTGCACAACTGGTTTGAAAAGTGTACTCGGGGAGTACTGATCAATGGTCCACAATCAAGCTGGAAGGGCATATAAAGTGGAGTCCCACAGGATCGGACCTAGGTCTGATTCTATTCAATATCTTCATACATGATTTGAATAATGGCATAGAGAGTACACTTATAAAATTTGCAGATGATACCAACCTGGGAGGGAGGGATAGCTCAGTGGTTTGAGCATTGGCCTGCTAAACCCAGGGTTATGAGCTCAATCCTTGAGGGGGCCATTTAGGGAACTGGGGTAAAAATCTGTCTGGGGATTGGTCCTGCTTTGAGCAGGGGGTTGGACTAGATGACCTACTGAGGTCCCTTCCAATCTTGATATTCTATGATTCTATGGGAGGGTTTGCAAGTGCTTTGGAGGAGAGAATTAGAATTCAAAATGCCCTTGACAATCTGGATGAATGGTCTGAAATAAATAGGATGAAATTCAATAAGGACAAATGCAAAGTACTGCACTTAGGAAGAAATAATCAATTGCACAAATACAGAATGGGCAATAACTGCCTAAGAAGGAGTACTGCAGAAAAGGATCTGGGGGTTATAATGAATCACAAACTACATATGAGTCAACAATGTAACGCTGTTGCGGGGGGGGGAGCAAATATCATTCCGGGATGTATTAGCAGGAGTGTTGTAAGGAAGACATGAGAAGTAATTATTCCACTCAGCACTGATAAAACTTCAGCTGGAGTATTGTGTCCTGTTCTGGGCGCCACACTTCAGGAAAGATGTGGACAATTGGACAAAATCCAGAGAAGAGCAACAAAAATGATTAAAGGTCTAGAAAACATGACCTATGAGGAAACATTGAAAAAAAATGAGTTTGTTTAGTCTGGAGAAGACTGAGCGGGAACATGGTAATAGTCTTCAAGTACATAAAAAGTTGTTATAAAGAGAATGGTGATAAATTGTTCTCCTTAGCCTCTGATGACAGGATAAGAAGCAATGGGCTTAAATTGCAGAAAGGAAGATTTAGGTTGGACATTAGGAAAAACTTCCTAACTGTCAGGGTAGTTAAGCACTGGAATAAATTGCCTAGGGAGATTGTGAAATCTCTGTCAATTGAAAGTTTTTAAGAACAGGTGAGACTAACACCTATCCAGGTCTAGTTCAGTGGTTCTCAACCTATTTACCATTGTGGGCCACATATGCTGCTCTCTATGTGTTATGTGGGCTGCATCCACACAATATATATACTACATGTATGGCCCTGAGGATGTCACATGGGCCACAGCTGTATGCTGATTGGCCGCAAGTGGCCTGCGGGCCATGGGTTGAGAACCACTAGTCTAGATAATACTCAGTCCCGTCTCAGTGCAGGGGACTGGACTAGATGACCTATTGAGGTCCCTTCCAGTCCTACATCGCTATGATTTTATGTAATTAAAGACTGTACAATGATGCTCACACACAAGGCAGATGAATTAAGGTTGCTGGGCAATATTAATCCCTAACATCATCTAATTTTTGAGTGCTTGAATTTGCAACCCTCATGTTCTTTTAATGTAGGTTTTAAAAATGTGATTTTATATACTCTGATCTGCTCTCCCCATTCGTCTCCTTTCCCAAGCAGGTAAGCTTTCTGCCTGAAACAAATCTTGTAAAGATACTTCTGAGGAAGTGGAGGTTGAGTTGCATACTGTGTTCCCTATCAAAAGAACTTGAAATAAACACTCTGTGATCATGTAGCAAGGGGTGAGCTTGGCGATAAGCCAGCTGCCGTTTTATTTCAGGAGCTCTGTTAGAAAATGTTACATTTGTGGTTTTGAGACACGCATTCATGTGGCATCAAAGACGCAGGTCAGGAGAAGCTTTTCTTGGCTTCAACTTTATCTTCTTGGCTAATGTGCTGCAAGATGAACTGATGGCTCCCCTGGGCCTTGTTATCAGTGTAACAGGTGTTCTTGTATCCTTGGGTGTCAGGGCACACATGTAAATCTTCTCTCTCCTCCAGATGGAGATAATGAACACGAGGAACTGCTACCAGGTCTCGGTGAATGGGCTGCACGTGTTTGACTATGTCCACCGCCTCCCTGCCAACCAGGTGGACCAGCTACAGATAGCGGGGGATGTGACACTCTCCTGTGTGCAGTACTGATGGCCCCTCCTGGGCCACTAAATTCTCACTATTTGACTCATCCTCCACTCCACAGCCCTCTCATCATCTTCATTCAACAGCTCCACTGCCGAGCCTGGAGATCTCAGCCACCAAATCTCACATCATACAGAAACTCTGAAGTCTCACTACAGGGGTTGGGGGAGGGAAAGGCTTCTCTCATTGTCTCATTGTCTCTTTTTTGTCTATATGCATTTCTGATACTGTAGCTTAAAGCAGTGGTTCTCAACCTTTCCAGACTACTGTACCCCGTTCAGGAGTTTGATTTGTCTTGTGTATCACAAGTTTCACCTCGCTTAAAAACTACTTGCTTACAAATCAGAGATAAAAATACAAAAGTGTCACAGCCACACTATTACTGATGAAGTGCTGACTTCCTCATGTTGACTATGTAATTATAAAATAAATCGACTGGACTATAAATATTGTACTTACAATTCAGTCTGATGCTTGAGCCGTTTTTCACTTGTGAGCCTTGCGGCCCAGGCGGCGTGGCTAAAACATGTAAATTAGCTTTATGGGGGCCCCTGTGGCAATGGGCCCCAGGCAGTTGCCCTGCTTGCCACCCCCTAATGCCAGCCCTGCACTTGTGAACTCATAGACTCATAGACTTTAAGGTCAGAAGGGACCATTATGATCATCTAGTCTGACCTCCTGCACACGCAGGCCACAGAATATCACCCACCCAAATCCCTAACCTATGCCTGAGTTATTGAAGTCCTCAAATCGTGGTTTAAAGACCTCAAGGTGCAGAGAATCCTCCAGCAAGTGACCCGTGCCCCATGCTGCAGAGGAAGGGGAAAAACCTCCAGGGCCTCTGCCAATCTGCCCTGGAGGAAAATTCCTTCCTGACCCCAAATATGGCGATCAGTTAAACCCTGAGCATGTGGGCAAGACTCACCAGCCAGCACCCAGGAAAGAATTCTCTGTAGTAACTCAGATCCCACCCCATCTAACATCCCATCACAGACCATTGGGCATATTTACCTGCTAATAATCAAAGATCAATTAATTGCCCAAATTAGGCTATCCCATCATACCATCCCCTCAATAAACTTATCAAGCTTAGTCTTGAAGCCAGATATGTCTTTTGCCCCCACTCCCTAAACCGATCCAGTAACCTCCCCTGGGTGTCGTGACCTCCAGGTTGAGAAACACTGAGCTAGATGATTTGAGTACCCCCTGGAAGACCTCTGTGTATTCCCAGGGGTATGTGCACCCCTGGCTGAGAACCACTGGATTAGAGTTCCAGGGCCTGATTCAACCCTATCTGATGATGAGTTTGGAAAGGGTGGGGAGGTTGTTTGAAAGCCTGACAAAAACACCATATCACCTGTGGGTGAACACTGTTCACCAAGCGATCACTCTATATCTGACCTCTCAGTCCTCATCCTCACAGGAAACCTGCACAACACTTTCAAAAAATGAGCCTGGGAGCTTAAATTCATAACTTTGCTAGACACTAAAAATCATGGACTGAATAGAGACACTGGATTTATGGTTTATGACAACAATCTGTAATCCCCAACCCTCCTCCCCACCAAGCTTTCCCCTCCCAGTGACTGGAGGGGTGCTAACAGGCTACTTCACCTTTGAAATATGTGCTATTTACTTCTGCTGAACAATCTGTTCCATCTTGTATTTAGTTGTGACTATGACAAAGTGGAGGATTTTCTTTGAGTTTTGCATGAATACTGTGTGGATCTCAGTTTCCTTGTGTGCTGCGTGTGTAATGAGGCGGTGGGAGAGGGAGTTTGTTGTTGCAAGGGACCGGGTGTGACCTCACCTGGCAGTCGGGACCCCAGAAAACTGCCTGGAGATGGGGGACCCTAGTGACCAGGTTCAGATGCTCAATAAACTCTTCTGCTTTATGCTGGCTGAGAATCACTGCAGGCTAGAGATTGGGGTTGCATTATTCCCTCTGGGCATGGAGGCCCTGGGGTCCAGAGCGAGTGGACTCCCTGAGGGGCCCACAGCGAGAGACAGGCGTGTTGAAGGCTCAGAGAGGTTCCAGAAGGTGCAGGGGCCTACGGCTTAACCCCCAGGAGAGAGTGGACCCCCAAGAAGGTCTGTTGCTCTGAAGGGGGTTCCTCCCAGGGACCGTATGGAGCCGAGAGAGAGCACGAGTCATGTGAGTCCGTGACAGTGACACTCTGAGTAACTTTCCCAAACCTGAAGAAGAGCTCTGTGTACGGTTGAAAACTCGTCTCTCACCAGCAGAATTTGGTCCAATGAAAGATATTATCTCACCCATCTTGTCTCTCTAATAAAATTAACATGGCAAACATTACATGGATTAAAAACTGGCTAACTGATAAGTCTCATCATAGGGGAATCACCGAGTGGGTGTGCTTCTAATGGGGTCCTGCAGGGATTGGTTCTTGGCCCTATGCTATTTATGTTTTTATCAATGACCTGGAAGAAAACATAAAATCATCACTGGTGAAGCTTGTAGATGACACAAAGACTGGGAGAGCGGTAACTAGTGAAGAGAACAGGTCATTGATACAAAGTCTTTAAATCAGCTATGCACTGAGAAATGGAATGTCATATGGAATATCATCTCTTGCAGCTGCACCTCCAGCCACTCAGACACTAAACCAGCGGTTCTCAACCTATTTACCATTGTGGGCTGCAGGTTGAGAACCGCTGCGCCAGACACACATTGGCCTGCCCAGCCCTGCGCTGCCAGCCTGCCCCTTCCTCTCGGGGGCAGGTCCATGCCAAGCGCCACACCAACCCCCTGCCCAGTGCTCCCCTGCCCAGAGACACCCTCCAGTCCCCTATGCCCAGTGCCCCCGCTAAGACTCCCCACAGACCCATATGCCCAGCGCCCCCCTGCTCACAGACCCCCCACTGCCCAGTGCCCCATACAGCCCTGCCCCCACACCTGCCCAGCACCTCCCACAAACCCTGCACTGCCCAGAGTCTCCCCACAAACTCCCTCAGAGACCCGCTCTCCCGCACCCTTCCCCCCAGCCACATTCACCGGCCCCACTGGGAGGTGACTGTGTGTCAGGGTTCCCTCCCCACTCTGAACTCTGGGGTACAGCTGTGGGGCCCACATGAAAGACCCCCTAATCTTATATGCCACCCGCTTAGGCTAAAAACTTCCCCAAGGTACAGATTCCTTTCCTTCTCCTTGGACGGTATTGCTGCCACCACCAAGTGATTTAGACAAAAATTCAGGAAAAAAGTCCATTTGGAGTCCCCGTTTCTCCAAAATATTCCCCCCAAGCCCGTTCACCCCCTTTCCTGGGGAGGCTTGAGAATAATATACTAACCAGTTGGTTACAATGTGAGCACCTTGGTTTTTAGGACACTGAAAATCAATCAGGTTCTTAAAAGAAGAATTTTATTTAAAAAAAAGTCAAAGCATCACACCTGCAAAATCAGGAGGGAAGGTAACTTTACAGGGTAAATAAAAAGAGTTAAAACACAGAGGATTCCCCACTGACTCTGCTTCCCAGTTACAAAACAGGAATGCAATGACCTCTTAGCACAGGGAAAATTCACGAGCTAAAACAAAAGATAACCTAACGCATTTCCTTGCCTTACTTACAATTTTTGTAACCTTAGATGCTTATTTCAGGTATGTTTCCAGGAGATGTTTTTTTCCTGCCTGAACCCTCCCTCCGTCCAGAGAGGGAACAAACAAAGGGAGCACAAACAAAACCTCCCCCCACCCAGATTTGAAAGTATCTTCTTTCCCCATTGGTCCTTCTGGTCAGGTGCCAACTAGGTTAATTGAACTGATTAACCCCTTACCGGTAAAGCGATTCAGTACAGCTGCTCTGTGTATGTTTATGACACTGTGTCCGCTGGGCTGAGCCGGCAGCATGGCCGGGGATTGCTCTGGCCCCTTGGGAGCGGCGCGATCAAATCCAGCTTATTATCCAGACTGGACTCCCTCAGGACCCACTTGCCCGGCAGGGCCGCCTGCATCGGACTGCTGAACTCTTCTCCTGCCACAGGGGGCTACTTCACCTTCCCTGCTGGCAGGAGCGTTCCAGCTGGGCTGCACGGCACCATCTCCTCCTCAGTCGGCCCACTGACCCATAATGCGAGGTAACCAGAAAGATTTCGTGGTTAATTTTGGTAGTGGACTGACTTTTTATAGCTCTGCCTTCACAGATGGTTGATGGGCAATTCTGACAATAATTTGTAACAATTTAGGCTCAACCCTACTGAGACATACTGTACCCATTCATTATTATATGTATCAAACAGATCTTTTTTGTTGTTTTAAAAGGTGCTTCAGCACTTTACCCTTGCCTGATATTACCCAGAACAATTTATGCTAAACTAGGAATTTGCATTTCAGTGCGTTCCATGGCTAAGGCAGTTCTATTTTGTAATTTCAGCTGTTTTTGTGACGTTCATAAAGGTCGGAACCTTAAGTCCCACCTCCCCATTCCAGGCATAAATATTGGTACACCTCTACCCCAATATAACGCGACCCGATATAACATGAATTTGGATATAACGCGGTAAAGCAGTGCTCTGGGAGGGGGGCTGCGCACGCCGGTGGATCAAAGCAAGTTCGATATAACGCGGTTTCACCTATAACGCGGTAAGATTTTTTGGCTCCCGAGGACAGCGTTATATTGAGGTAGAGGTGTATTTCCTAGTGGCTTCCGGATTTTATTTGTATTTTTATTGTACCATTTTAAGAGGATTTTTGGTTCCCTGACGGGGATTCACGATTGATTAGTTAGGGGGGAATTATTCTTGGCCAGGGGAGAGATGGCGGTGGGCTTTCCCAAGTTATTCTTAAATATCTGGGACATACAGGCCCCCAAGAACAGGGACTGCCAAACCTTATACTGAGGTTTCATGGATTTGGAAGTAGGAGTGGTCGAGCAGCGTCTTATGGTTTGAATTCCAGGGGTCCTTTTTTGTAAAAAGTTCAAGACATTATTAATCATGCAGAAGGTTTAATTTGTGAACCATGTACCCATTTTAACTTTTTATTCTTTTTA